TCCCGCTCATCAATGGAAGCTTTTTTTTCAGTTGTATAAAACGCGTCTCCGGCAGGTCTGAAACCAGCAACTATCAATCAAGACAGAATATATGACTGCAAAATACATTTTGTATTCAATATGAAATGTTTATTTCATAGAAATCTTTAGACTAAAACTGAACCGCTTGATACAATAATGTAAAATAAATGTTAGCTATTTACTTGTAAAGGATGTTTCTATACACTAGATTTAACAGTCACATCCACAATGTGTTGCATATGTAGCCTATGTATATACGGGGAAGCTTTTGCCCTTCAAAAGTCTTTCTCATAAAAATTTGCAAGGCAAAAAAGAAAAAAAAAAAACAATACCGTACATATTCAAGTAGTTAAAAATAACAACATATCACAGGGCGGATCCATTTTTTATTTATTTTTTATTTTATTTTTTTTTTAATTCTCAATGCAAATCAGTGTGTTGTGCTACTCACTTACAAATTCTGAGACTGTTGTGCTCCCAAAAATTCTGGATCAGCCCCTGTATCACATTACTTTGTAAAGTAGCGCCCCTCAACTAACCCCATTTTCTTTCAGAGTGCACATATTTTGGAAGTACTGTACTGTAAAATGTTTTCCGCACTGTTGCTATCCTGTCTACAAATCGTTAATTTGAAATGTCAATCAATACAAGTACAGCACTGTTAATTTGGGCTATGTAGCTATTTGTATCAAAACAAAAATAAACATAATAAATATGAATAGGCTGTAAGTTAACAAATCTAGTGGAAGGTTGGATGCTCACATATATACAAAATTATGGTTCTCACGCAGTGAAAAATGGAAGCCAATGTCAAATTTTAGGGAATTTCTTATGTGTGTAAGCCAGGCCCGCAGCCAGTGGGATTTGAAGGTTTCGGCCAAACCTCCTTTTTGAACAGTTTACTACTGCAATAGTATTATGCTTACAACTTTTTTCTATTATGCCAGGCAGCTTAAAATTACACATTTATTCCATATTAGTAGCCCTAAAGTGTCCTACTTTCCTGTGCTTTAGGTCTCCCATTATTCTTCTGTTTTCAGAAATCCCCTATTACTGTATTTACTGAATTAAAATACATAGCAGGTATCTTTCCCATTATGCTCCACTAGTATATACCTGTTTATATGAATCGATTCTATTTTTCGCTACTTCATAAGAAAAGTATCTTTTTGAGGGAATATTTAATTGATTTCTAATTTTTCATGAAAATTCTATTTAAATTTCTATTCATTTGAGTGTTGTTACAGACCTGATAAAGTAATGTGTTTATTGTAGGCCTAATTATAACATAGGTTTTTTGATCATATTAACCAACCTACAATTAACAAAGCTTATATCAATTTCCAACAAATTTCGTACCACAAACTGGAAGGTTCACTGATTAATTTCAGATAAGAAAGTATAAAACATACTCTAACAGTTATTAAAAATCAACAGTTAGAAGAGCTGTCAAATGAAATGCATACAACTTTACCATTTTTAAATTGCATCCACACCCTCTGCAACCTTCCCCTTCCAAAAACCCCCTGCCTATGAGCCTGCCTATTATTCACATGTTTCTAGGTATCCCTCCTAATATTTACTGGTATAGAGGACTCCAACAACCAAATACACACACCCACACCCCATAACTTTCCCAAACAATATGTTGGTTATGTTCATTCAGTAACTACTACAGAACAAAGCACTGATTGTAACCTTATGGCAAAAATATAGTTACTGTACCTAAAACCTCATTCGCACTCCGACTTATTTTGATAAGAATCTTACCGAGGCATACAGCTATATTAAGCAAAAAGCTTCCACAAAACCTAGCCAATGATATTTATTATTACTAAGCTATGGAAAGTTATTTAACTTAATAGGCTAATAGCCTTCCTTCAACAAATATTGAGGATTCGGTAACATATTCGAACAACTGAAAAGCAATATTGTAGAAATATAAAAATTAGGTTGGGTGCACATATTGAACAAAATTTTACTTGTGCAGACATCACTGTTTAAGCATAATGCACAAAAACGATATAAAAAATTGTAAAATTCATTATTACATTATTATTTCTTCAGATAATAGCTAAGATAATATTAATGAAAAAAATGAACAATCAATATCCGTAGATAGATTGATTTTCTTTTTAGTAGAGCGGCTAAGGTTGAATTTCAGGTAGAATCGTGCACTTCTGGAAGAAAGCATGAAACTTCCCAAAGTGATACTATGACACCTAAAGATCAAAAGACCCCAAAAAATAACGCCTCCTAATGGCCACTATCTTGAAATCCAGTATGGCCGCCAAAATATTTGATTTGAGCCAATATATTCATATCTACAGCACATGTCATTGCCAAATGAAGATCATTACCATGTTTTCAATGGGAGCAGGCTGGTTTCCCCCTGGACATTCCCCCCCCCCCCACTCCC